ACCCTCGGGAGCAGACACCAACGTGCCCTCTGCCTCGTGCGGGTACAGTGACCAGGCGGCTGTGGGCACGCCAGGCGGTGGCTTCTCAGCAGGACCCAGCGAGCTGGCATGGGATCTCGAGCCTCGAGCAATGAGTGTGTGCTGTTTGAGCCACGGGTCTGTGGCACTTTGCACGGCGAGGTGACAAGACAACCCGAGCCTGTGGGGGTTGCTCACAGCCCCCGCCCAGGCCTCAGTGTCTCTGTCGTGCACTGTGACGGGGCTCCTCAAGCCGGGATTTCCCAGCAACCGAGTCCCTGCTCCTGCCACCCACTGTTCTCCAGCAGAAGCATGTGCAGGGCACGGTGTGGGGTGGCAGCTCCCCGTGAGCTCTGGGCTGTGGCTGGTGTGCAGGTTCCTGGCACCAGTCCCTGGTCTCACACCCTGTAAACAGCATTAAGATAGTAAACACTGAGAACCACTCTCAGACCGCTCAGATGCCACCACGAACCACATGGATACAGAAAATCCTCCAGTGTCAGGCAGAAGAAATGAGAACCAGAGTCTTGGAAAGCTGAGTGTGCCTTTAAAACCTTCGCTACCAGCGAGCGCAGGAAACATGAGGAAATGCATACCATCTGCGTTCCCTAGGCTGGGGTGAGCATGGATGCTGGCCAGGCCGAGGACGCCGCCGGGGGCTGCCTGGTCGGAGTGCAGAGTGGCCAGACCATAGCTCGTGACATCATCCTGTTGGCAAAACACAGAGAACAAGCCAAACGCCAACAAAGTAGTGGTCGAGCACAAAGGTGGTCAAGACACGACGTGACGAGGCCCGACGCTGAAGCTGTGGATGGAGGTGCCTCGCAGAACGCCCCACAGAGATGCCTGGGAACATCAGCTATGGTGCCTACGGATGCTCCCACGTGTGCGCTGCAGACAGAGGCCTGCCCGCGGTGCAGACAGGACACACGGCCTGGGGGCAGCGGCACCACCCCCAGTGTAGGGAAAGCAGAGCGGGCTCAAGCACGCTGTTTCATTTCTTAACAGAAGGACACAGGAAGACGACCACAGACACACAGATGTGACGGAGCCAACCACAGGGCACACCCCGTCATCACAGAGTCATCTACACTTTCTAGATGCTTCACCTGGTCTTCAATGAAATAAAACAGAGGCTGTATCACAGACGCCGTCCATCATCTGAGAGGTATGGAATAATGAGCTCATTTTGTTGGGACTGCAACTGGACTCCACTTGTCCTCACTGGGTGCACTCCTACCTGGCGCTGGGAACACGGGGGCCCAGAGCGCGCAGGCTGAGCAGGGTCGAGGGCGCCGGCCTGTGCGGCCCCAGACCCCACACATCAGACACACGACAACGGCGACCTTGGCCTCCAGGCGGTCAGACGCCCGAGGGGACGTGTGTGCATCCTGCTGCCCGCGGGCACTCGGAGCAGGAAACAAGGTGGCAAGAAGCAGCTCCGTGGCCGGCCGTGCGGACAGTGTCCCCGACGACCCAGGTCTTCCGTGCTGTGCTCGCCCTCGCCTAGAGATGCAGCGGCTTTTCTTCCGCCTGCTGAACAGCCCGGCGAGTTCTGGGAACGGGCTGAAGAGAAACGTTTAGGTTGGAGGGTCTTTGAGCAGTTGACAGCTGACGGATGGCCGCCCGGGAGGCCACAGAGCGGAGCGGTGCGGCGGGACGCGTCACATAGCCTCTCCCTGGGAAACTAATTGCTCCCGATTGTTCCGAGCAACATTATTTTTCTGGCAATCATTTCCTTTGAATGCCCAAAATGAGCATGAAACAGCTCTTTTGCCCGGACATAAAAGTTAAATGTCCCAATGTTGATCAAATTAACTTGAGCGCCAGGACAATGGACTGTATTTCTGAGAAAATAATGGGGGGACAACGGGGCGCTTCATGCCAGGATTTCACAGTTGTAACGTAGAATGTTCTGTTGAACTAGGCCAGGCCACGTTTCAAAGGGCAGACAGAAGAGCCCTGTCACTTGTGGAAAAAAATCTCATTTCACGGCAGAAAGCTTGGGAAGCCGTCAGGAAGTTCTGGCGCTGGCGGCTCAGGAAGGACGGTGCTCCACGGTCTCTGCTCCAGTTTAATCCGCAGAACACGCCCCAGGTGCTCCACTGTGCGGCACAGAGGTGTAAGCGCTCCCATGGGAGGACAGGTCCCCAGGTGCACGCAGGGGCCCCGGCACCGCCTGCCTCCCAGCCTCCCGGCCTGACACCCTTTGTTAATCACGGATGAAAAGCAAAATATTCATGAATTGCACAAAAAACATTAAGCTTATTATTTGTAATAAAACCCAGAGGGCCTGCGGGCTGTGCTTTATTGACACTGAGGATCTCATCGTCCGACGTCTCAGACAGGAGTCCTTTCCAGGTGAGCCCAGGCTGGGGTCAGTGTCCACACGGGTGCTACATCCTGCACGAGGCGCTCCGTGGCGCTCACAGTCCATACTGCTGGGGGACCAAACACTTGGGAAGAGTTTGCACACTGCAGACAGAATTTGTCTCTCGGGTTTCTGTAAACTAAGTTTTTATTTGGGAACAATCTTAGATTTACAGAAAAGTTGCCCATGTAGTGCTGGGGGCCTCTGGGTTTTAACCTGGGCTTCCGGCCACCAGCGCCGGGGGGACGGGGACGCCAGGCTGCTGGGGTCTGACGCCACGGGGAGACGAAGCTGGAACCGGGCAGGCTCCCCTCTCAGGAGCCTCCTTGCTGTCTCCCCGCGTCCCCACACAGCACGGCGGACAATGCTCCCCGAGGTTCCCAACGCTGTGAATGGGGCACTGTTGGTGGCAGCGTCCATTCAAAGGGCCGGCGTGGCATTGTCCTCCCAATCGGCAGAGCAGAATGCAGTCTGCTGGTGGCTGCCAAAAGGTTAGCCGCCCCGATGAAAGGACAGCCCGTTATTCACCGCTCCTACAGAGCTGCCCTTTGTGCTGGGCGGCCCAGCCCTGCACGGTGGAGGTCCGGATCTGCGGCTGGCTGAGCTCCCCACAGAAGCGATTCATGGGAATGCAAAGTCGCAAAAGAGGGCCCCGAAACCCAGAGGCTGCTTTCCCGAAGGCCATGGAGGAGCGACAGTGGGGCCATGACACGTTGTAATGGCAAACCCCACCGACAACCTGACTATAGTCACCAAGACCAGACTGTTCAGGGCTCTGTCCTGGCCCCAGACTCCGCGGGAGGTCCCGGCGAGTGGGGGCAGCCCACACAGAACCCGTCAGGCCGCAAGACCCACACAGGCTGCGGCTTGGAGCAGCTCCTGGCTCCCGGGACATGGGCTCGGTGTCCCACCCACAGGACCCCAGCCAGGCAGTTCAGCATGGGGAGCCAGCCCACGGCCCCCTCAAGGTGAGCCCTCCCCAGAGGGCCCTCCCTCGCATGTCCCTGTCTTCCTGGCCCCCTCCAGTTGGACGGCCAGGCCAGCGCCCACCCGAGGGTTTCAACCTGCACAGACGTGGCACTGAGACAGCCTGCACGTTGGGGGCCCTCCAGAGCGGGCGTGGGTGAGAACAGGAGGCGGGGAGCCCCTCCACGGGCGGCCACAGGCCGGCATGCTGGGATGCAGCACCAGGACCTACCCAGCGTGCCCAGACCTCAGGCTGGCTCAGGCCTCTACACCCCTTCAGTACCCAGGGGGTGGGACTGATGAGTCCCACCTCTGAGCCCCGTTCAGCCCGGGGCCTGGGAGGCCAGGGGAGGCCCCTGAAGAGCAGCTGCACAGAACCTGTGCTGGGCTGAGGTCCAAGGCCCTCAGTGTGCAGGAGCAACAGATGCAACCAGACCCGCGTCTCGCACTCATGGTTCCTCCACGTGGACCTGGCAGGAGGCAGCGGGAGCCCTGGAGGTAAACCGATGGCCACCGTCCCACACCGGACAGCACAAGGATGAAAGCCAACTTCCTGTCCAGAGCGCGTCCCTACTGAGCCCCGTAAGCAATCCAGAAGGATCGTGCATGGGGTGGATGAGGCCGCACGCAGGCCGGGGCCAGGGCTGAGCTTGGGGCAGGGTGGAGCGGTGCTGGGTGCAGGCGGGAGGGGTCAAAGGTCAGAGTCTAAGTCCTTGGCACATTTCCACGGATGCCCAACTCCGTGCCCTGGCACAGGGGCAGAGGTGGGGTGGGGCAGGGCCCCCGGGGAAAATTTGAGATTGCCTGGGCAGAAACGGGGAGACCCCATCCGGTAGTGATAGCTCTCCCAGGGCCAAGTGGGTCGCTGACGTCCCTCAGGACATGCAAGCTGGCAGGGGAAGGCCTGATCTGAGGACCAGGCGGAACCAGACAGCCCCATGGACTTGGGCAGTGAGGCTCTGACTAGGCAAAGGTTCATCTGCAAACCAAGAGGGATGCTGGTCCAGGACCAAACATACCCTGTTGTTAATCACGGTATGAGTCGCTGCCTTTCTTTCCCAGATGCCCACCAGCCCTGACCCTGGAGAAGGTCACACAGCATGGTCACGGACGGGTGGCGGGCCTCGTGGGGTCCAGAGTAGGAGGTCCTGAACACCAGCCAAGAGGGAGCTCGAGGAGCAGAGGAGTGAGGACAGGCTGGCTGGAGCCTGGGCAGGAGGGACACAAGACCACCGGGACCCCTGCCCCCAGGCCCTGGGCTGCAGAGAGACAGAGCCAGGAGAGCTGAGCTCGCGCGCCCACGGCCACTCCCAGGTTCCGCGACCCCGAGCCCAGCAGCGCCATGGGAAGGCTCGCCTGTGGCCCGCAGAACAGGCACGCTGGCGTCTCTGAGCCCTCGGCTGAAACACTGACGCTTCAGTGGACGTCTCCGTACGCTGGCCTGGCTTCCCCGCAACATGGGAGGGGTCTGTCCAGCAAGGGCTGCTCGAGCCTTGGGACCGGGGCTGGGATTTGGGGCAACATTTGCAAATTTTGTGTTTTAGCCAATAGGAAAACAACAGACGTGGACAAGTGGCTTAAAAGAGAGAGAGCCCTGACCTCGGAGGAGGTGGGGCGGGAGGGGCCGCACGTGCAGCACACCCACCTGTCGAGCACGTAGCCCAGGGCCTTGTGCCGGATCCCCGAGTACACCGAAGGGCTTGTCTCCCAGGCGACCAGATTGGAAGCGTCATGAAAAAGATGGATGTTGACCAAGTCAAAGGCACTGCGGGGACAGAAGGAGACACGGTGACGGAGGGTTGGCGCTGCGGGGCACCCGACGTGGCCCAGCTCCCCGGGGCGACGTGGGGCCAGGGCCCGAGGGTCACAATGGGCAGCGCCGCCTGCGCCCACTCCTGTCCTCCTCGGCTGCTCCAGGCCCAGCCAGAGCACATCCCCTGCCCGGTCAGAGGGGGACACAGGCGACCTCAGGGTCAGTCCTTAAACACGTCCGGCCAACTGAGAAGGTCTGTTTCCTGCCAAAGAAAGAGATGTGACCTGATTGCAGAAACTCTCCTCATCCAGGAGCAAGGAGGAGGAAGGAGGAGGAGAACAGGAGGGAGGGAGGAGGGAAGCGGGCAGGAGGGGGTGGGGGGACGAGAGAGAAGGGGGGAGGAGGGAGGAGAAACACAGGAAGAAGCAGGCGCACACAGCAGACTCTGGGGCCTGGACCCCGTCACGGGCAGCTGGTGGTGTGGCCCGATGCTGCCCGGAGCCCGTCGGCTGCTCCCCGTGGGGCCGTGACACCAGAGGAGGGGCACCAGGCGGTTCCTTCCACTCGGGAGAAGCCCCCAAGCTCACAGCCCCTAGGGGAGGCCCCGTGGCAGGGAACCCGCTCAGCAGGGACGCGCGAGGTGAGGCCAGAGTTCGGCCGGCAGCCTTCCCACCCCACGGACAGCTCCCACATCTGTGGCATCGCCACAGATGGGCCGCCTCACAAGGCCAGCGTGCGGCACGAGCATGCCACCGTCGTCACAGTGCCAGGATGCGAGGCCGAGGACCCTGCGAAACACGTGTGCCAAGCTCACAACCGTCTCCCGGGCGGCAGGGGGGCAGTGGAGGCAAATCCTCTCAGCCACACGGCGACCCGAGGACCCCCCCCTGGCGCCCACGTTGTGCTGCGGTGGCCAGCGAGGCGTGAGCGCCGGCAAAGGGCTGGATTCTGTCGGAGAGTCTGTGGCTCCTCCCCGCTGCCCCCGCAGAGCCGCCTGAAGGCCACAGGGAGGGCACTGTGCCGACCGCAGGGGTGGCTGAGGGCCTGCCCGGGATGGGACACCCGGCAGGCACTCACTCAGTGCCCCCACCCCTGGCCGGACGTGCCTTCAGCTGACAGAAGGCCTTCCCACGGCCACTGACGGGACACACGTGGCTCTAGGACCCTAAGACCCATGGTCCCAGGGAGCTCAGGGAGGAGAGCAGGTGCGAGCATCTGAAGATTCCACTGAGGCAGCAAGGGCCGCCCCAGACGGAGAGCCAGCCCACAGGCAGGCCAGGCCCGAGGGTCGACTTGGGGAGTGTCTGCCAGCCCTGTGCTCGGTGCCCACTGTGGCTGACCGTGGCCTGCAGAGGGCTGCCTGGGCGGCACTCGGACGCCTGTGTCCACGGGAGGAGGCGGTGGGGCCTGCATTGTGCCCAAGCTGGGACCCCAGGCAACAGGACTGTGTCACACGGAGTCTCCGAAAACAAAGCGGGCCTAAGACTGGTGGGCAGCTTGGGACCGGACATGCGGCCACACCACACAAAAGCCAGGGAAAACGTTCCGAAGTTTATGAAGTGTGACAGTCGCCATGATAAACGTACCAGTCTGCAACGCACCATCTTGTCCGAACGAAGCCTTTTCTCGACCATTTGCACTGAAAAACAAACAGGTTGCACAAGTGAGCCGGCTTAAAAGAGGAAGGGGACAGACACCCAAGATGCATTTTCAATCAGGAAAAGCAACGTTCCTTCCGCCGAAGGCCTTCTGCTTACAACCCAAGTGTGCGCCTCATAAGCGTCCCACACGAAGCTCGCCAGGGCGCCTCACGCTCAGTGCACGGGAAAGGTAGGGAACGACGCGGTCAGTGTTACCTTCTGGGTGAGGACGCCCCAGATGAGCAGAGGATGGCCTGCACGTGCCCACCAAGGCCCTGCCTGGAGCTGCCCACTAGCGGAGACACGTTGGCCCCTGGCGGACGAGAGCCTGTCAGCAGAGAAGGGCGTCGGACCAAAGAAACCCAGTATTTTTTTCTGCTACGCTTGCCCTAAGAACAGCCTGTGTTCTAGAAGCTGGGAGAAGGGTCCCTGACTTCCCACACTCCTCTCTTGCTGGTTGAAGGGGATGTGAGGGGCAGGAAGCCACACCCGCACCCTCTCCAGGGCTGCTTCACTAGCAGGGGAGAGACCCGCCGTGCTGACATGTCCCTCGTCCAGTGCAGGTGACCGGCTTGTCCAGCGTGCTCATGCCGGCAGGGAAGTGGGTGCCGCACTGTGTCACGCTGCCCCACACACGAGCCATGCCCAGCAGGGCCATCAAGCATGGCAGATGGTCTGTGGTGTCTGGATTCGTTCCATTTCGATAGCCACGCTGGACGGGGCAGTTCACAGCCCAGGCAGTGGGAGTGGGGCTCCTGCTCACATGCCCTGCGAGCCCCAGGAGGCACTGGGGAGACCTCCCTGAACCCCCAGTTTTCAAACAGTTCAGAAAGCTGGACGGGCATGTGCAGTCCCCCCCCCCGCCCCGAGCCCCGGGGGCATGTCCCTCTGCTGTGCCGGCAGGAGCAGCTCGGGGGATGGAGGACGGGAGGAAGGCCGCGGTGACACATGTGTCCTCAGGGGCCTGGGCTCGCAGTGCCCGTGGTAATCATGTGGATCCAGGGCAGAACGCTGACAGAGTCCAGAATCACAGGGGCTCTAGACACTTAATGCGAATAATTCAGCGGCTAAAACCCCTGCTTGACCCCACCTCCCCCTCAGGCACTGTCCCCCCCCCCCCCCCGTTGTTTCCCTTGTGACCAGCTTCACAAGGTGTTCGGCTTGGTTCCTATGGTGACACCCTGCCGGGGGCGGTGCTGTCTTCAAGGTTACCACCAGGTGCAAACGTCGCAGCTCTGGAGTCTCCCGCTGCCAAGTGTCCACCACGCACTGGCCCCCCCGCCGCCGCCGCCGCCAAGCTCACCAGGCTGAGCCAAACGCCCACTGGCCCTGACCTGGGTTTTCTCTTGTTTCACACACAGTCGCTGACGCTCTGCTCTCCCCACGCACCCACAGGACCCGGGGCGCGTGTGCGTGGAGAGGACGGGGGCGCCCACCCCGCTTCCACAAGAGCAGCATGGCCGGGACAGATGCTCAACGTGAGACCCCACGCCCCAGCCCAGTGCCGAGCCGTGCTGCCGAGACCCAAGCTGAATTTAACCCGACCACCTCGGATCTTACGTCCATTAAAATTGGAAGGCATTTGTGAATTTAATATAATTAACCAAAAATTAATGATTGTTCTCGATTGTCAATTACGTGTTAAGTAAGGTCTCTCTGCAAACGGACACTGCACACGTACCTTCAATAACTGTGCATGTATCTTTTTTTAGACACTGAAACTGTCCACAGTAATGGGGCATTTTTAACATTAATAGAATACATACACAAAACATGAGATAATAATGTATTACTTTTTTAATAATATAGACTTGTAATAACTGTAATTTTAGGATTCTAACTGGATTTAAGATTTTTAACTACATTGCAAATAAATCTCAAAAAAGCTTAACAGTGTAACATTATTACAACCAAGTATTTTAACTAAACATCTGTAGAAAATACGTTACTTTTGAAGTAAGTTCATCATTATAATTACAAATGTGTTTAGGCTGCACTTCCAAGTAATTCCCAGGGTGAAAAAGAGGGGCTAGAGCCTGGGACATCCTGACATGTGGGAGCCTGGGCTCCACGGGGGACCGCGTGTCCTCAGGTGCCGCTGGGCTGCACTGGGGGTCCTTCCGGAAACCTCCTTCCTCACCCCTGGTGTGCCCCCCATCCTTCTACCTGAGGGTTGGGCAGGTGGTCATGACAAGCACGCCAGATTCAGGGTGCAGCACCAGGGCTGAACACGGTCACCTGCCCGAGACCACCGGCTCCTTGCAGAAGGAACTAGAACTGGAATTTCCCTCAGCCCCTGTGGGGACTGTCCCTTCCCTACTGTGGCTGAGCCCTGACCCAGGGACGCTCACCTGGGCCACGCTGGGGCAGGGCAGGGCCAGGAACACACCCCAATCATCAGAAGGGCAAGTGCCTGCCCGGTGAGGCTTCCCTGCATGACATCCTAGTGGAAACGCACACGCATGCACACGCCCACACGCCCACAGCTGTCCTGCACCCAGGAGGGATGGAGATCGGAACCGGTGCCTCCGTCACAGGCTGGGGGTTCCCTCGAATGTCAACTGATCTGTTTCATTCCATCCACGTACAGAAACTTTCTGATCACCAGGCACCTTCTGAAACCTCCCTGTGGGTGACCCCGTACGGGCAGCAGTGGCCAGGTGCCCGCCCTGCTTGCAGAGAGGCTGTCGCCAGGGAATGAAACCACGTCACACTGGGCTGGGGGGGGACTGTGCCACATCGCTCACCTTGCAATATTAAGTCCCTGCTCAGACCCCCTGTTAATAGGATTCCTTTAGCCAGCAGATGGATGGTGAATGCAGGATGGTTCATCCACTAAAGGACAGCATAAATCAGCGCGGAGAAAAGGGAGGCTGTGGGGAGGTTATCCGCACGGAGCCTTGCCCGTGAAAGGCCCGCTTTGGAGCATTAGTGAAATTAATCCATCTTTCATAAGAGCTCGGAGCAGTCCCTGTGATCTATGGTAACAACCAATTTCTCACTACGGGCAAGAGGAAAAAAATGCCTTGGCCCTGATCGACTACACAAATCTGCTTTATAAAAATGGTCTCACATTATCTGGAGTGCTGCTCCCAGAGGCAGCATTTGAAATTCATGCCGAGCCAAAAGCACCCATAAATCAGCAGAGAAAGTTTTGTTAGTTTTATATGCAGTGAGTTGTAATTATTTGGAATTGCATTATGCCTCCATCATGGTAATTACATTTAGATTATCCTTAAGTGAGGGTAATAAAAGAAGAGAAATAGGGCTTAGACTAATTCCCTCCCCCAAAATGTGTTCAAATAAAGCTAAAGGATTGGCTCAGAGGCCCAAGAGCAGGGCCCGCGCCAGGCGGGCACGTGCCCGACAGCTCTGCCCACGTGGTACCCCTGGGGCCCTACCCGGCCACGGCCTCAGGGAACGCACAGACCTCTGCACACCTGAAAAACATTACCGATGGGTGCTCGGAGCATCAGGATTTTTGTTAAGTAAGTTTTTCCTTCTGTTCATTAAACCACGCTCACTTCTGCCACATCCACATGCCGACAGACCCCACGGACCAGACACAAATTTGACGCGGCAATATCATGTCCAACCGAGTAAGGACGGCGGCCCCAGGAAGGCCGCTGCCCCGGGGGTCACCCGGGTCCCAGCAACACACTGCTCTCCGGTACACAGACTGGGGTCTGTCTTTCCTTTCCTTTCAGAAAACCTTTCCCTTGCCTGTGGATGGGACCGTGGTCACCCAGGGCCGCCCGCACTGCTCCCACGGGCGAGAGGCGGCCACTGGCTGTCAGCCACCCCCTCGGAGCCGCCAGCACCTCCCAGACACTGAGGCCCCTGGGGGCGTCTGCCCTCTGGGGGGTGTGCAGGATGTGGAACACCATAGCTGGAGCCCTAGACTTCGTCTGACCCCCGCAACGCCGACCCCAAGCCTCCTCACGCATGCGGCCTGGGCCAGCAGAGGGAAGGGTCAGGATCCTGGGCCAGGCCGCAGGGCCCCACACGTGCCGCGGTCTCGGGAGCCAGTTTGCAGACGCCGGGCGCAGAAGACAGCCTGAGGGCTGGGGGGCAGGGAGCCCCTCAGAAGGAGGCCTGCTGTCCTGCAGGGATAGACAGAGCTTTGGGGGCTCAGCAGGCGTCCGACTCCTCTTGGGGCATCCTGCGTGGGGCACTGCTTTGCTCTCTCCTTCTTCTGGTGCCAGAGGGACATGGCACCTGCCACGTAGGTCTCTTCTCTGCGAGCATCACAGCTCATGGCCGACCGATTCCAGGGCCCTCCAGTGACCTGGGCTCCAAGGGCGAGGACGAGAGGACCCGTGGTGGGAGGAAGAGGGACCTGGGAGATGAGCACCACACACAAGCTCCATCACAAATGGAGGGATCGGCGTGTGTCCTGCCCTCAGGGAGTGAGTGTGGGCCGTGCAGCAGACACCAAGGCCCCCGCTGCACGGAGCTCCCCCTGAGCACGCAGAGCTGCTCAGCTCTTCTGCATGGAGGCTGGGCACCGTGAGCCACTCGCTCTTTAGCAAGCGCCAGTTCACAGCCTTCGGGCAGCTGGATGTTGCCAACAGACGGCACTGCTGGGTTGTGGCACTGCTGCGGCCTCAGACATGCCCGCCCCCTGCCCTCGTGTCATCACACCCATGGGCCCTCCAGAGTCCTGCCTCTCCCAGGTGCATGGCCCCTCGTGTCCACCCCTCTGGGGTACACCCCAGCCAGCCACCAGGCGCAGGTGAGTGCCCTCCTGGGCTGGGACGTGCTCTGGGCTGAGGACGGAGGAGCCAGGCGACCCGGGGTCTCTGGCGCAATCACTCAGGCTGATGAAACAGAGTGGGAGAGGCAGCTGAGAGGAGCCTGGGGGCCTCTCAGCCACTGGGTGCCGTGGGACACCCTTCAGAGAAGATGCAGGGGTACCTGCTCCCAAACCTTCCTGAGTACCTGTTAGAGCTTGCTCTCCCCCTGCTGTGGAGAGCTTGCTCTCTCCAGCCCGCCGTCCCCACTAGGGCCCGTGGTCACTCTCAGTGGCCCCACTCGGCTCTGAAGCTGACTCTGTGGCCCTCGGCATCTCCAAGGGGACAGCAGCCCTGGACGGATGTTCAGGGAGGACTGCCAGGATTCACTCCGCTGCTTCCAGAGCTTTCCGGCCATGCTGCAAGGTCAAGAGCAGCAGGGGACAGCACGGGCTGGGGCAGCCAGGACAGAGGCCGGCCCCCTGACACTGCGTCCTTGGCTCAGGGACAAGCGATGAGGAAGCTGCACCCACCCTTCATGGTGGCTGCCACAATTCCTTCACCCCGGGCTTGGGTCATAAACAAGTTAATACACTCGTGGCCTTGCTGAAAATCAGCTCCAAGTGCTGGTGGGCGTCTCCACGGACAGTGGGCAGTCCTCGTGCAGGGGGGACCTGGTGGGGCAATCCTTCTTGCGCTGAGCCAACCTCCGCCGCGGCGGGGAGGTGGGCCTCACGGGAGTGTGAGACACACCATCCCAGTGCTTCAATCACAGACGCACCCTCCATCGTGACTTCACAGATGACGGAAGGGCATAGTGAGCAACTCTGGGTCAACGCGTGAATCAGACAGGATTAGCAGGCTCCAAAATGCCAGCGGGTGTGTTTACTAGAACACCTGAGTCTAAGATTATCTGTGCAGTGTAATGACTGCATACAAATAATAAAACCACACAAAAAGGCACCCAAACCCACTGAATAGATCAGCACGTCCTGGTTAACTGAGCGGTGGGCGCTTAAGGAGCCCTGGCTGTCCCTGAGCTTCTGAGCTCTGGGGTGCAGGCACCCCCAGACACGGGGAGGGGGCACCCTCGGCTCTGGTTTTCGGCTGTGCCTCTGGCTGGCTGCAGCCCTGAGGCTTTATCTGTGAGATGCCAGAGGGCCCGCCCAGCCTTCCCAGGGAAGACACCCCCGCGCACCCCAGCATCGCTGGCCAGATCCACCTGCTCCCGTCTAACACTTGCTGGGGGGCCCCTGGCCTCTCCAGACCTCACAACGAACTGACGATTATCTTCCTACCTCTCGTGGGGAAGGTCACTCTGCCTGGAAATGATGTTAGAAAATGTGATTTGTGTAACGACAGACAATGCAGGTTCTCAGCCCCCACCAAACACCACCCAGATGGACCCACGTGGGCCTGAGAACCCCCCAGAAAGACCGCCTACTGCAGCACGCCGGCAGCCAGGACAGGACCTCCTCCCTTGGAACACGAAGCCTTCAGCTCCTACGTTTTTCCTCACTCCCAAGGCGCGTGCTCTGAGGGGTAAGTGTGCCGGGGGGTCCGGCGGCCGGGACATACCTCAGGGAAGTAGTCCTGCGGAAACTTCTCCTTCTCCAGCATGGGTGTGCTCTCCAGCGTGTCCGAGTAGATCTCTTTGCCGGTGACTTTTTTATACTTCTTGGCTGGAAAAGAGCAGAAGGGTGACATGAATGACCTCACGGTGGCACCCCACCCAAGCAGTGTGGCCCGCGGGGAGCACGGGGGCTACGGGGAGAGAGGACCCGCTGCTCTGGGGGACACCAGTAGCTCGTAAATTCCCACCCCACGACCTGGAGCCCGACACTCCACTTCATTATCCCCTAAGAGCTTCCAGACTGCAGATTTACAAGGGCTAATTGGTGTCCTCTGTTAAAACCGTGAATATATTTAGGACGGCTGCAGAATAACCATTCACTCATACCTTAATACGAATTTACTTAATAACATCGATTTCCTCCTCACATGCAGCCGACATCACTCATGTCCAAGGAAGAGCAGTTTTTCTGTGAGGTTAAGACATGGAGTACGGCATAGACCGCTCCCGGGACCCCACGCCTGGACCAACGGCCCCGCGGACAGGGCTTGGTCTAGACCTTTCACGTCCAGGCCCAAGCCTGCTTCTTTCCATCACTCCACACCCATGGTGGGGTCTCACGAGTGGCCCCCACAAGATGCCACGCAGGGAGCTCGGGCAGCAGTGGGCCCAGACGGCTGCTCCTGGGCCGGGAACACCTGGGACGAGGTGAAGCTCCCGGCCGTTAGGAGACTGCCAGGGGACAAGGGATGAAGTGTGCTGTCCGTTTCTGTGGGGGTCACGCTCCCTGTTCCACCACAGCTCACACCTGCAGCTCCGGGAGCACCATGGGCCCCATGGGCCCACTGATGGGGGCAGAGAGCAGGAATGAGATACATGGGCAGTGTCTGGGGACAAAGCTCTGGGCACTGTGGGTTTGGGGGGGAGAGTGAACCCCAGGTCAAAGCCAAACACTGGTGGGCAAGGACTCTGACAATCTGCCCTACCAGCAGGAGGCAGGATGGGACGTGTGGTGATGGAGGGAAGTGAGGACAGAGCAGTGACGTGGAGCCATCCCCCAAACGCTGAGCTGCATGCTCACTGTGCCCACTGTCCCTCTGGTCTCGCTCCCAAACACGGGCAAGATCACCGAGATGACCGGTGCATGCGGTTCTGTCCCCTCACCAATCACCATGGCCTCCGAGGCCTGTGGGGGGACACAGGACAAACCCCATTAGCCAGAAGGCTGGTGCCAGGCGGCAGGTGGGCACGGCTTGTGTCAATGAACAAGCGACCCCCACGTGGCCCACCACGTCCCATTCCCGACACCCACCGCCACTGGAAATGGTGCAGAAGTGTGTCCATTGTGGGAGGCACTTCCTGGAGCTATGCATCCATGTCCGTGGACGGACAGCATTTATCAAATACTGCACCGGGGGGGCAGTGTAAGCGCCCATCCGAGAAGGCTGCGGGCCACCTGCCCCGGCACGGGGGGCTCCGCGGGGGAGCTAACCACTCCCGGGATGGTGGGCCTGGGCGCCCCACCCGCAATGGGAGGGTTTTCTCGTGGCCTCGGCCCGCAGTGTGGGCTCCCTGATGTGCCTCACCCTCCTCCCGTCCCTCCCAGGGCCTTCTCGAGCTGCCTCCTTGCCACCGAGGCCCAGCAAAGGCCCAGCTGTCCCTCCAGCGGTCAGCACCTGGAGCCAAGCCTGAGTCACGACACTGGGCCACCGGGGGCACCCGTCCCTGTGCTGCAGGGGGTGGACGCCCCCAGGACGGATGCCCACGGTCCTCCACGAGCCACGTGGTCTGCAGCATGTCAATGGAGAAGGGGAGAAGAGACTGTCGCAGGGAGACAATTCTGCTTCAGAGGAAAACCCTCGTGGCCGTAAGAAAGGGGAAGAGGCTGGGGGAGTCGGAGCAAAAGGAGGCCTTCGTGCTTTGTTGAAAAACAGACTTGGTTTCTTAGAGCAGTGTCAGGAGCAAGAACACTTAATGGGAAGCGCCCTGCCCTCCCCAACAGTCTGTCCCGCGCTGACACGTCGCGTGTGCTTACGCTGTGATGCGCTGAGGTCCGTACGGAGGTCAGGGCCGCCTGTGCGCTGCGCATTCCTGGGACTCTGACCCAACTGCACCGTGTCCTCGGGGCATCGCCCAGTCCCCCGCCCTCCCCAGCCCCTGCAATGCAGACCACTTACATCCTCTGTCTCCCGCCTTCCCTTACTGTCCTCTTGCTGCCTTTTCCCACCAGCTTCTTTCGCTCAGAAATACTGATTTAAGGTTCTTCTGTCCTTCTGTGGCTTGATGGCTCATTTCATTTTATTGCTCTGTAATATCCCACTGTGTGGATGGACCACAGTTTGCTTATCCATTCACCTATAAAGGACATATTCTGGTTCCTTCCAGTTTTTGGCAATTATGAATAAAGATATTATAAATATTTCTGTAGGTTTTTGGGTGGACCTAAGTTTGCAACTCCTTTGAGTAACATGCCAAGCAGCAGGATTGCTGGACTGTGCAGTAAGCCTCCATTTAGTCTGTAAGAAACTGCCATGCTGTCCTAAGTGGCCACACCATGCTGCACCCCCAGCAGCTGCGGGTGGGAGCTCCTGCTGTTCCTCGTCCTCCCGGCATCTGGGACTGTCAGCACTCTGGATGGTGGCCATTCCAACAGGTGCATGGTGGTGTCTCCTTACACACGATGTGGAGCCTATTTTCACAGTTTGATTTGCCATCCGTACCTCTTCTTGAGTGAGATGTCTGTTGAAATTTTTTAATTGGATTGTTTTCTTATTGTTGAGTTTTAAGAGTTCTTTGCATATTTTGGATTATCAGATGTCTCTTGCAAATATTTTCTCCCAGTCCATGGCTTGTCTTTCCATTCCCTTCACAGTGTTTTGTGCAGAGATTTTTAACTTTAACAAAGTCCAGCACATCAATTTTCCTCATGGACTGCGGCGCTGTATTTAAGAAGTCATCACCGGGATGCCTGGGTGGCTCAGTCGTTAAGCGTTTGCCTTCGGCTCAGGTCATGGTCCCAGGGTCCCTGCATCGGGCTCCCTGCTAGGCGGGAAGCCTGCTTCTCCCTCTCCCACTCCCCCTGTTTGTGTTCTCTCTCTTGCTGTGTCCCTCTCTGTCAAATAAATGAAATCATAAAATAAATAAAATAAAATAAAATAAAATAAAATAAAATAAAATAAAATAAAATAAAATGTCATCACCAAACCCAAACTCACCTACCGTTTCTGCATTACCTTCCAGGCATTTTATACTTTCATGCCTTATACTTAGGTCTATGATCTCCTTTCAGTTAACTTTTGTGAAAGTGTGAGGTCTGGCTCTAGATTACTTTGCAATGGACGTCCAGTTGTTCCAGCACCATCTGTAAAAGAGACCAACTTTGCTCCATTGTGTTGCGTTTGCTTTGTCAAACGTCAGTCGACTGTATTTATGGGGGTCTATTTCTGGGCTGTACTCTGTGCCGTTGATCTTTTTGTCTATTTTTTTCACCAACACCATACTGTCTTAATTACTGTAGCTTTTATAGTGAGTCTTGAAGTCGGGCAGTGTCAGTACTACAACGTTGTTCTTCTCTTTCAATATTGGGTTGACTATTCTGGGTCTTTTGTCTCTTCACGTAAACTTCGGAATCAATTTGTTGACGTCTACAAAGTAACTTGCCAGAATTTCAATTAAGATTGTACTGAATCAATGGATCAATCTGGGAAGAACCAGTATATTGACAATGTTGAGTTTTCCTGTCCATGAACATGGGATATTGCTCCATTTACTCAGATCCTCTTTGATTTCTTTTCAGCAAAGTTTTTAGTTTTCCTCATATTAATCTTATACATATTTTGCTTGATTTATTTCTAAATATTTCCTTTGTGTGTGTGCTAATGTAAATGGTATTTTGTTTTTAACTTCAAATTGCACCTATTCATTGTTGGTATAGCAAAGCCACTGACTTTTGTATATTAGCTTTGTATCCTGCAACCTTGCTTATTTGTACCAGTTTTTGTTGTTGATGATTCTTTCAGATCTTCTATATAATCATGTCATCTGAGAACTAAGAGAGTTTTATTCTTTGCCACCCTTTATTTCCTCTTCTTGTCTTAACGCACAGCCAAGATTTCTGGTTCAATGTTGAAGGGAAATGGTGACAGTGGACATCCTTACTTCAGAACAGAAGCATCTAGTTTCTCACTATGACGTGTGATGTGGCATGTCGGTTTCTCTAGCTGTTCTTTACCAAGTTGAAGTAGTTTTCTATTCCAAGTTTGCTGAGACTTATTATGAATAGGTGTCAGACTTAGTCAAATACTTGTTCTGCATCCACTGATATGATCATGCGGCTTTCTTCTTTAGCTTGTTGATATGATGTATTAGATTAATTGACTTTCAAATGTAGAACCAGTCTTGCATACCTGGAATAAATCTCAATTTGTCATGGTGTGTGATTCTTCTCACAAACCAATGAAATCAAAGGCCAAAAATAAGGTGAAGAATTTTGTATTTTATGTTCATGAGAGCTACTGGCCTATGGTTTTCTTTTTCTGTAATCTTTCTTTGGTTTTGGTATAAGGTAATTTTGGCCTCACAGAAGGAGTCAGAATGTTTTCTCTCTGCTTCTATTTTCTGAAAGAGATTATAGAGAATTGGTATAATTTCTTCCTTTAATGTTTGGTATAATTCATAGTGAAACCATGAGGTCTGGTGCTTTATTTTTTAGAAATTTATTAATTATTGACTCAATTTCCTTAATAGACAAAAGGCCTATTCAGATTATCTAGTCCTCCATGTATGAGTTTTGGTCAATTGTATTTTTCAAGGAATTGGCTCATCTAAATCATCAAATTTATAGGCACAGACCTGTTCACAGTATAACTTTATTATCCTTTCAATGTCTATAGCGTCAGTAGTGATGACCCCTCTCTCATCTCTACTATTAGTAATTTGTGTTTTCTTTTTTCCTTGGTTAGCCTGACTAGAGGTATATCAATTTTATTGATCTTTTCAAAGAATCAGCTTTGGGTTTTGTTAATTTTCTCTATTGAGTTCCTGTTTTCAATTTCATTAATTTATGCTCTAATTTTTATTATTTATTTTCTTATGATTTGGATTTATTTTGCTCTTCTTCTAGCTTCCTAAGGCAGAACCTTAGATTATTGATTTTAAATCTCAACCTCTTTTCTAATACATACATTTGATGCTACAAATGCACTGCTTTCACTACAACCCACAAATTTTGATAAGCTGTATTTCATTTTCATTTAGTTCAAAATATTTTTAAAATTTCTCAAGACTTATTCTTTGACTCATGTGTTATTTAGAAGTGTATTGTTTCATATCCAAGTGTTAAAGTAAAAAACAAATAGAGACCAGCCTTTAAAGTTCCCTGAGCAGACAAAGCCAGTTTAGTCATACAAACAAAGGTGAAATTAGCTTATTTTGCAAGACTAACTTAAACTGAGTCATTCCTTGCTTATGCCTCTAAAAATCTGTTTCCCAAGGTTGATATGAGGTAACCACTTAACCACTCCCATCATTTAAGAGAATTCTAATATCATAACCAATCACTGCGGAGAATAAAATCACCGCGTCCACACCACATGAGCTGTTTTATAACAATATACCCCAGAGCCCCACTCCATGTTTTGGTTGGATGAATCCACTGCCACAGGTGGGGACTTCAGTGCCCCTGTCCAATTCTCCTGGAAGCTCTCTCAGTTTTTCCCTTGTGTGTTGTGATGCTCTGTTGTTAGGTGCATACACGTTAAGAACTATTTTGTCTTCTTAGAGAACTGACCCCTTTACTGTTACGTAATAAATAACCTTCTTTATCCCTGGTAACTCTCCTTGCTCTGAAGTCTGCTGTGCTGAAATTATCATTGCTACTCTGGCGTTCTTCTGACTAGTGTTAGCATGGTCCATCTCTCTCCATCCCTCGACCTTTAATCTTTATGTGTCTATGTATTTTAAGTGGGTTTCTAGGAGACAACACATAGTTGGGTCTTATTTTTTTTAACCACTCTGACAGTTTCTGTCTTGTAACTGGTGTATTTGTACCACTGACATCTAAAGTGAACCGTGATAGAGTTGGAGTAAGATGCTCCATATCAGTACCTCCTCCATCTGTTGCCTTTGTTTTCTGTGTCTTTTTTGTCTTTTCCTCTTTTTCTGTAGACTTCTCTGGTTTAACTGAGCATTTTATATGATTCCATTCTCTCTCCTCTATTATTAGCATGTCAACTGTGTATCATTTTAAAAATTTTTAGTGGTTGCCATAGTTTGCAATACACATTGACCACCGATCCAAGTCCACTCTCACGTAGCACTGTATTCCTCCACAGAAGTGCAGGTTCCCTGCGACAGAGTCCCCAAGCTCCTCTCTCCCATTCCTCCTGACGTCGCTGTTACTCATCTCACTTACCCATAAGCTACAGGCACCCACCATGTTGTTGCTATGGACACTATGAACAAAAGTTATCTGTCAGATTAAGAATAACAGGAAATGAAATATTTTACCTTCGTTTACTCCTTCTCTTAACACTCCTTCTTTCTTAATGTAGATCTAAGCATCTGATCTATATCAGTGGTGTTTCCTGTAGGGACTCAGAGGCTAACTTTTCCTCCCATGTCCTGTTCTTGTCTCCTCTGCAGTCTTTGCACTCTTGTGAGACTCCTCCTTAAACAGAGGGTGAGCTTGGAGACTCTCTGCCATGACACCTGGTGTGATGATGGGCACTGCAGCTGGGGGGAGGGACACTGTTGTACAGTCCGATGACCCTGCCTCGGTCCTTCGGCCAGCATGAGCCCAGGCTGCAACCTTCTCACGTGCTCTCAGCACCACGGCCCCTAAGCACGACAGTGAGGCCAGCGGAGGCTGATGCTGCCCACCTGCCTGCCCCAGGCCTGCTGGGCAGCTCTGGTGACATGCAGGCGTGCCTATCAGGAGGAACAAAGGACTCTGGACAACTTCAAAACAGCTCTTTCCCTCTCCGCCTGCCAGAAGCACGAGGGGGTTTTTCTCTGATCTTCACCGTAACAATATGGTGGGGCTCCTACAGTCAAAGCTCACCAAAGTGCGGAGGGGGGGCAGCTCTCTCAAGCCTCCAGCTTTGCACGCCCCTCCCAGCGGCTCCCACCTGCACCAGCTCCCGGCAGCTGTGGCTCTCAGGGTCTGCCTGCCTGTCCCTCCAAGGTGGGGGCAGCACCAGCCCTGTGGCCTCGCTCCTTTGATCTGAGAGACTCGCCCTGCTCCGTTTGCTCAGCACCATCCACGCTCTTCAGGTGTCAGACCAGAAACGCATGTCCCTTTCACCACTTTTCGTCCACACCTTCTGGGAGTCCTCAAATTTCTAACTATGTACTAAATTCAGCCTATTCTTAAAAAGTTTATTCAAGCTTTTCACAAATTTGAGACTGTTTCTGCTATAACTTAAGTCGAAGCGTAAGAAGGAGGTGTGAAGAGCAGGGGTGGGCGTTCCCACTCCCGAGACCTGCCGTGCCTGAGCCCTGCACCTGCGCTGTGGGCACTGATGTCACGTCCAGCCACTGGCGCACCCCCAGAAGCAGCACATACTCCTGCCACAGAGGCGCTCAGGGCGCGATCACCACCACCGTCTCCACTCTCATCACTGACAACATGGGGGCCCCTTGGAAGGTTTGCTGGAGGCAAGGGTACATCTCATGTACAGTTTCAGAGAAACCCCGGGCTAGCGGGGTACATTATGACTGATCTGAGTTAGCGGTAAAATGTGTATGGAAATAGTGACTCAAAGGAAGGGAAAAGTTCAGTAGACCAGCTCTGTGCCTAACCTCGAAGAACAGGCTCATGAGAGGCGTCACACCATTCTGCTTCCAGCCCCACCTGGAGCGCGCAAGGTCTGAGCACCTACCCTCTGCTCCCTCTCACCCACAGCTGGAGAACACGGCCCAGGGGTGTCCAGGGTCTGTTAACATCGCAGGGACAGTGGCCTCTGGCCTGTCTCTCGCCAGGTTTGCAAGGCTACTCCCAGCACGTTCCTCGGTGGGAAAGCCACGTGTTTGCATTTAAAACTGTGCAAAGAATCCTCAGGCAACATGGCCAATGAAAAATCATCCTGCTGGCTGGAACCCTGTTCCTAACATCGATGAAATTGCTACTCAAGCCATTTAGGGAAGACTCTGCTTCGGCATTTCAGAAGAGGTGATCTGTCTCCTAAGTGAGCAAAGATAATGAATCTGAACAACCTGACATAATTAGTTGCTCTCCACAGTTATTACAACTTCAGTGACACCTCAAATTAATGTGATCTGGCTCAGGAGCCGACGTGGAGTCAGGGGACTCGTGTGGAGTGAAGAGAAGGTGTCGCAGGCGCACGCGGGGGCCGGGGGGTCTGGGCCCCAGGCTCACGTGTGCGGAGACACAGACATAAAGGCGGCGTGTCCAGGAGCTCAGGACGAACCTCCTCCACACAACACACGCGCCGGCCCAGGACGCGGGGCCTTTTTCACTCCACCGCTAACGTCGGCTCATTTTAAAGACACCCCCTCCCGCGCTGGTCTTCATTTTCTCCCACATGATACAGACACAAGGCCCTTCCCTGGGCCCCTGCACTGCGCTGTAGGAGAGCCAGGGTCCCCTGCCGGCCCCGCCCTGGGAGCAGGAGGGGAGGGGAGGGGGGGCGGGGTCCCGGGCAGGGCGGGGTCCCGGGCAAGAATGCCCCTGGAATCCACAGGGCCTTGAGCACCAGGTTTGCACGGGAGGCCCCTGCTTAGTGGCTGCGACCCTCTCACAGGGACGCCGGGTGGGGGAGCCCAAAAAAGTCTTACCTTTAAAGTCAAACTGGTAGATGTTTTTTAAGGATTCGTGGAGAAAATAAAAGCTTCCTAATGCCTGCAGAGCAAAAAGAGAAACCGAGTGAGAGACCAGCACTGGGACAGTTTGAAAGCCATTTTAAGTGAGGAACAAAATGCTCTTGCGAAACGGGAGTTCACTCCTCTGGGCCTAATCACGGTCACTGGGATGAGACGTGAGCCACGCTTATCCCCACAGATAAGGCCCTTCCCCCAACAGGGGCGTGCACTCCAGCGGTCTGCCCTGGGCTATGGGTGCCAGGGTCCAGCAGGAAGGGCTCAGAGCCTGGCTCCGCCCTCGCCTCGTGCTGCACCCGCCAACCGGGGCCCCCAGCAGCTGCACTCCACATGGGGCTGCAGCACCACTGCCCACAGAGCCACCAGGCCCCTGCCCCATCCATGGGCTGGCAGTTCTGGTCATCGGGGTCCATGCAGGAAAGGCAAAACTGCAGGGGCCAGACGGGGGGGGGGGGTGACCACCAGAGGACGGTTGCCTGGGACACCCAACACTAAAGTTACCTGCTGTTTATCTGAAATTCAAACTTGGTGTTTTTTATGTGCCTGTGCACACATATATATGGATATGTGTATTCCTGTGTGAGCGGGTGTAATGTGTGTGTGCGCATGTGTGTATATCTCTGTACGTGTGTCAGTGTATATGGGTGCATATGTATGTGTGAGCATGTGTGTGTATGTATGTAAACTTGTGCACATGTATTCATGTGCCTGTAATATCCATATGTGTGCACGTGTGTATATCTCTGTACGTGTGTCAGTGTATATGGGTGCATATGTATGTGTGAGCATGTGTGTGTATGTATGTAAACTTGTGCACATGTATTCATGTGCCTGTAATATCCATATGTGTGCACGTGTGTATATCTCTGTACGTGTCTGTGTACATGCGTGCACATGCGCGTGTCTGTGTACGTATGTATATACCGTGTGGATATACATGTGAATATCCATGTGTACATGTGTGCACATGTGTGTGTCTGTGTACGTGTGTATGTATATACCGTGTAGATATACATGTGAATATCCATGTGTACATGCGTGCACGTGTGTCTGTGTACATGTGTATATATATACACCATGTAGATATACACATGAATATCCATGTGTACATGCGTGTACATGCATGCGCGTCTGTGTACGTGTGTGTATATACCATGTAGAAGTATATGTGAATATCCGTGTACATGCGTGCACATACGTGTCTGTGTACGTGTGTATGTATATATCGTGTAGATGTATATATGAATATCCATGTGTATATGCGTGCACATGCGTGTATGTCTGTGTCTCTGTGTATGTATATACCATGTAGATATACATATGAATATCCATGTGTACGTGTGTGCACATGCATGTGTCTGTGTACGTGTGTATGTATATACCGTGTAGATGTATATATGAATATCCATGTGTACATGCATGCACATGCCTGTGTGTCTGTGTCTCTGAGTATGTGTGTGCACGTGCAGGTACATTTACATGTGCGCACACACTGAATGTGTATTCATCTACATACAGATATAGACATGTATGTGTCTATATATATATATATATTTTATTCTTTTGCTGAACCTGGCCACCCCCACAAGGGACCTGGGGAGACAGAGCTCCAGCAGCGGCTACTCCGTGGACATGAGCCTCTGATTCAGGTGGAAAGGGCACTCCGAGAAAGTGTCAGTAAATAAATGTTGTGGCAAACCTTTACTACTGCCTTGTTGAACGTGATAAAGCAATACAATATTATGAAGTTTACAATAAATAAATGGAAAACAAATTGCCAATGCAGGCATAGAAACTGTAATTCATGGAGTCAGAAAATCCATAATTAGCTCTAATGAATATTTAAAGTCAAAGTTCAAGCTAACTTTTTCAATGTTTAACCTGCTCTATCAATACGGTTTAGGGCACGCATCTGTCACAGGACATGGCAACATCCACACAGAAGCGCACCCAGGCCTGCGGACAGGAGCCCCGTGCTCACCGGACCTTCTGACCACAGCACCTGTCAGCACTGTGCTCCTCACGTCTGAGAATATTGACTGTTTGCCTGTTTTACTAAAAACAATTAAAATACTTTTTACATATTTATTAACCTAACTGTCAAGGGTGGCAATTAATTCTCCATTAGTGAGATGCAATCCAGTCGATGCTGTACTTTTGCCAGAACAGCAAATGCAAGGTGGGAGCCTTGGATCCGCCCCCGCATGGGGCTGGTCGCGAGGCGCAGCCAGATGGTGCGGGGTGGGGTGGGGAGCCAGCGTTTCCCCCAGAGAGCCGAGCCCCTGGGGCTCTGCTGTGTGGGATGGGGGTGGACCAGGAACGGAGACCCCAGCTCCCGTGTTCGACGGAACATGGCAAGTGACATGTCTCTGAGACAGGCAATGGCCCAGCACTCCCAGTTGCCATCCACCTGGGCGTCTGCATGAACCGCTGCCCACGGTGGATGAAACCTACCCCCGCCCCCCACGGCTCAGCAGCTGGCTTGGGGTGCAAATGCTATAAAACCAGTTCTCAGCTCAACTGGACTCTGCTAACGTGATGCACCTGGTCACTCATTTGCTTTCTGGAGTTGAACTCAGATGCCAGGAAGCCCCCCACCCCCCAAACACAGCCGACTCAGGGTGATGACAGGAGCAGACCACCCCTACACAGCCCCAGGGAAGACGTGTATTTGTCGAGTGCTCCCACTTCTCCTGTGGAGCTGCCCACACTGGGCTGGGGGTGACCTGGGCCTGGGCAGAAGCCAACCAGGAAAGAACACAAAGCGACTCGTTAGAAAGGGCTCCATCAGTTTTTATTTGCAAACAAATCAGAGGGCCAGCAATTTATCATCCCTGCAATTAGGTTAGCAGCCAAAGTACATATCATTAACCTGCAGGCCTGCTGCATTCGGCTCACTTTTCCACAAAACAAAGGACATTCCTAAGGCTCAAGTCAGAGCGACAGCAGTGAGAGGCTCTTGGGGACACATTCTTCTGCAGACACCACGGAACAGCATCTCGAGCGTGACCCCAAGGGGTAGCGGGTGTAGCGGGTGCCCCACGTCCTCATCAGTGTCAGCGGCCACCTCCTGACAGCCCCTCCAGCAGTCACCAGGACCGGACCCAGGGCCGCCTCTCCCAGGGGACAGGGCTGGTGGTGGGGGTGGGGCGGGCCCAGGAAGCCAGCCGCGGGGTCTGCACTAGGCGGAGGCATGCGGGCCAGGGTCCCGGCACAGCACAGCTTGGGAAGTCCTACCTGCCATGAAGGGCGGCTGCACTTCACAAATGCCACACAGGCCTCAGTGAGTCCCTGCTCCCCCAAGATGGCTCACTGTGCTGTCTCTACAAAGTGTCTTCTGCTTGTTATTTTTTAAAAATAAAATAAATGGGGGCGCCTGGGTGGCTCAGTCAGTTAAGCATCTGCCCTCGGTTCATGTCATGATCCTGGGGTCCTGGGATCGAGTCCCGCATCGGGCTCCCTGCTCAGCGGCGAGTCTGCTTCTCCCTCTCCCTCTGCCGCTCCCCCTGCTTGTGCACACGCTCTCTCTCTCTCAAATAAATAAATAAAATCTTTAAAAAAAAATTAGTGGATCTAAGAGCAGGAAAAAGAATTTCATGAGATATTGTCAATAATCTTCAAGTTTGCAACAAATCAGAGAACCTTAGCTGTTCTAAGTTAGAACTAACAGACTTGAATGAATGATGGCTAGAGAGTGTGATGAAGCCCCTGGCCCTTGGCCCACTCTGTCCCATGTGGGCAGACAGTGTGGAGGACACGGGTGTGATGGTGGGAGCCTCACCCATGAGTACATGGTGAGCACTGAGCAGGAGAAGCTGCCGGTAAGGAGGGAAGCTGCAAACACGCCCCTGTCTGAGCTCGAGGCTTAGATGTCAGAGAGACTTCACTTGCACAGCCCCCGAGTCATGCACCGGGACAGGCAGTCGGCTGCGAGTCCACTCTCTGGACACTGTCCCCTCGTCCAGATCTGCAGCGACCCCTGAGCTCGGAGGACACATGCGACGGGGAGACGGGTGTGTCCTACAACTTCCCATATTCACAGTCAGGGGACACGTGGCACTCACCCTCTGAGAAGCTGGAGCCCTCGGGAGGTGTGCGCACGAGAGCAGCCGCACTTCTAGACACACTGACGAACTAACGCTTCACCACGCGGAGGGGGGTCAATAAAATCTGAAATACTCCTATGATGCCGCATGATACAGCATGGAAAATAAATCACACCCCAAATTAGATGGACTTCACAAGGCTGAGAAAGAGGAAGTTCCTAAAATTTCACATGGCCAAGGTAACAAAAACCTAATCAAAAGGAGCTGAAATAAAAAAAAATGTGATGTTAAGAGTATACCAAAAAAGGAATAAAATCATAAACATAAAATTCAGAGCAGCGGTGACCTGGGGGGTGGGGGTGGGGTTAGGGCAGGTGCACACAGGCACGGCGGGGACACAGGGACCTGAGAGGAGTCTGCTGTGCCTGCGCCACTTGGCCTCTCCCTGCAGGCGGCCGCCATCTTGAACGGTGGTGATCAAGGTCCGAAGCTCAGGGCTCTCAACTTCATCAATGCCACCTTACCTACTCTCTCCTCAGGAACTTGGTTTTTTTTTTCCATTCAAAGTTCTGTTTTAGAGATGCTCCATATTGAGACATGTAACTTTAGCTCACTTTTAATGCTCCGTAACAATCTAATATATAAAAACCCTGCAATTTTTATCCATTCTCTACTGGAGATGAAGCCTGTCTCTAATATTTTCACTATTACAACTGATGCTACGGTGAACATGCTTGCATGGACACATAAGGTGCACGTATGTATTAAACGTGCGTGCATATGTACGAGACTGAGCTTCTGGGTCACAGTGTCTGTGCACCTTCAGTGCAGGTGTCATCGGCTTGCCTGACGACCCAGACCTCACCGGCATTTCGGGCAGGGCCTGCTGCTCCACAACTCTGGCCAAAACCTGGTGTCAGCAGACTGCGGTCTTAGCCAGGGGGATCGTGAAATGACACACATCGCACGTCACTGT